GAATATAGTATGTCTCACTGCTATGAATAATTATTATTCGTGATTGACACATGGATACTTTGGAGAGTATTAGCATACCCTACTGATAAATCATTTGTTTATGTTTCTATGAGAGTATCGGTGTATGGAATGGTGTAATAGTCCTTTGACTTGAGGTCAATACGCAATTCATAGTTAGAGTGATTTACATAGAACTAGTCCAACGCTTACGCCCTTATGGGTAGACAGGTTCTTGTGTTGGGTAGATCACGATATACATGTAATTGGTTGTTGAGGCAAGATATGATTCATTCCTCGAATATAGTTTTGAGAAAACACTCATTTTCTCTATACTAAGTTGATAAAGTCATTGACCAATGCAGTGAGATGAGATAAAACAATTAAGTTGTTTGGATAGACACACGTTCAAATCCTAAGCTTAATCGAGTGGTTCGTGAATGAAGGGACCATATCACTATTGAGTTCTACACTAAAGGTTTGTTTGCTTGTCCATGTAAATGTATTTCATATTTTGAGTTCGTCTTTCGACGCAGTCTAGGAGTTCTGTAAGGATCATAAATTAGATTTATGTCAATATATGAAGGCCTATAAAGTAACACAATATGCAATCAATTTTCTGACTAAGAGTGAATTGAGAGTGTTAAATATTCAATTGGATTGGAATATTTATTTATGAGTAATGAGATTATTTTCTATTTGATGAAAAATATTTAATTAAGTTAAATTAGATTTATATTTAATTAGTAATGAGATAATTTTCTATTTTATAAAAAATATTTTATTAAATTAAATTGGATTATTATACTTAATTAAATATTAATTGGATCAGGTTCAATTACCTATTGGGCTGTGTGATAATCCTAAGACCCATATAATTAGGTTTTGACCTAATTATAAATACCTCATTATCTCTCATAGTCTTTGATCCATGAAACTATCATTAGATGAGAGGAGAAGAGAGACATCGTAAAGAAAACACTCTCTAGCTTTATGGATCGAGGATTCTTAGCTTCTTCACCGAAAGAGATTCATTGGTGTTAGATCGTGCATCGAAAAACTGGATTACGTTGATACCATAGTCGAGGATAAAGACGAACCACGATAAGTTTTCGTTAATCATTCACGCGATCTAGGATCATATCGAATAGCTATAGCCGGATCTTCGTTATTGGTAAGAAAAAATTAAAATTCCACTGCGTGTGCGATTGATTCGTACGTCAAAAATCCAACAAATCGGATATAGTGTTAGCTAGGCTAGGAAGGAGTCCGTGTAGAATAAGTCCAAGTTGCACTTTGTGCGCGCAAACCGATTTATCAATGAAAGAGCTCTGAGGGATAGTGGGACGATCCCCGAAGACATATAATTTTTTTTTGTGGAAATAGCTATTTTCACCCCGTTTTGAAGTTATGCTAAGTTTTCATACCGCCTAAAAAAAAGCTAAGTTTTTCACCACAAAAAGTACGAAAGGCATTGTGCGATGAATATGCGACAATTGCGCGATGACATTTTGCGAAAGTTAAAAGTGCGAAGACATTCGCATATCCCTTTGCACTTTCTGGGGTGAAAAAAAGTTAAAGTGCGAAGACATTGTGCGATGAATATGCGACAATTATGTAATTGATATGCGACAGTTATGCAGTCCATTCGCATAACCTTCGCACTTTTCGGAGTAAAAAACTTAGCTTTTGTATTGAACGGTGTGAAAAACTTAATGTAACTTTGTATTGAAATGAAAAAGATTTATTCCCATTTTTTTTTCGCTTCCAGTGTTAAATTTATTTTTCTATGTTGCAACACAATTTTGCAATACATAATTTTTATGTTCTAACACAGTCTACGTATTCTATAATACCCCACCCGCATTTTAGATTTCAATATTGGACTTCTTTAATGAGATGAATTGGAAATTGGTATATTTGTCTGTGTGCTTTGAAACCCGTGATAGGACAATAGATATGAACAAAAATGATAAAAAAAATACCATATGTATTGTAAACTTGGTCAAGGACTTTGTAGATTAATTGAGGAATAACTAAGTTGAAGAATTTACATGGAGAAATGGCTTGTGGTTACACTTACACATTCTTGAAAAGTTTGAAATTGAAAATTTGCCTGGTGGTTAAAATTCTTAAAAAGTTTGATATTAAAATTTAGTGTAGATAAGTATGATGATGGAGCATATAGATAAAGATAAAAATTGGTATAATATAGATTTTTAATAATAATAACAATGATTAGATGGGTGTTACACTAATTAAATATAAGTATCCATCTTCCAGGGATTGAAGTATCCTAAAATTAAGCACAAAAGGTGAAAATTGTATAGACATGCCTTTAAAGAGTATAATTTCCATCAATGGCTCTATTCAAAATTAAGGACAAAATGTGGAAATGTGTAAACATGGCTCTAAAGAATTCAATTTCCATACTGCATGTAAGTAGGGTTGTAAACCAATCGAATCAAAGTGAATATTCAGAGATTCAATTCGAATTCGTTAAAATATTCAAATATTCGAATTCGTATTTGATTCGTTAACGAACTCATTTTTTGATTCGTATTCGATTCGTTAGAATATTCGAACATATTCGATTCGATTCGAAATTCGTTTTTAAAAAAAATATAATTAAAAAATATTATAATTATAAAAAATAATTTATATTTTTCATATATTTTTAGGAAAATTTGTTAATTTATGATGTTTTTACTATTTATGTCATAAAAATAGTAGGAATATAACAATATATATATACATATATATTATAAACAAAATGTATACTATATATAATTTATAATTTATATAATTATTGTTAACGAATCAAATAGTCAAATTTTGAATCGAATATCTACAAATTCGATTAGATTCGTTTAACTTTCGAATATAAAACATTATTCGTATTCGAATTTGAATATTTCGAATTCGAATTCAATTATTTCGAATTCGAATCACGAATATCGAATCGAATCAAAAAAAATTGATGTGTATACAAGCCTACATGCAAGTAAACTTCACAATCAAACACATGATCAACTTTAAAAAAAGCAAGTCAATAACCCTGATGCATTAGGCTATAACAAGAAAACACATCTAAAAAAAAAAATAGAGAATTATTCTCCTCGATCCTTGCCCGATTATCCAGCTCGACAAACCTCTTCGGATCCTCAAACGAAAGGTTTCCCACATCCTTCCTCCTAAGCTCGCTCAGGGCCAGCTTTTTGTCGAGCAAGAGCCACAGCCAATCCGGGTACCCGGGATCAGGCAGGATGTTTGGGTCTTATCTATAGTTTAGAATGTGATGGGGACGAGCTTGCTTTGGCGTTTATGGAAAAATACGAGCGTCGTAGACGTTGTGCATGAGTTACATGCTTATGTGACTCTTCATATTGTTATGTTATTTTAAAGTTAGTATGGAAGTTTGTAGTAGTCAAAGTACCAAAATCAAAGAGGCATTCAACATTAGCTAAAAACTAGAAACACTATTAGGGGGCATTCAAAAAGTGACAAGAATTCTTTTAAATTATGTAATCATATGATGAAGAAGTTGGTGAATGATTAAATAAAATTGCATTATTATCGAGTATTCTATACTCTCGTTTCTTTCGTACGCTTTCGTCTGCATCGGTTGGTATCTAGAGTCCAGCTACACGATCCTCGATGCCACCGAGATGCAACAATGCCGACGACAGGCGTGATGCCGCCATCGAGGCGATGGGGAGTCAAATTCTAGAACTCTCGGTAGGGCTTCAGGACATTCGTTTGGCTCTTGCAACTATTGTTCCAGGCGAGCATGCGAACCGGGACTTTTCCCAGGGACGACGAGGTCGCGAAGGACATCATGGTGGCCGAGGCGGACGCGGTTCCGGTGTGGCGCCCCACCACCGTCCGTCTTCACAGTTCGACGACGAGGAGTTCTATGAAGATGAAACGGAGTCTGATGTGAATCCTTTCGGGGTTTACGGAGGACGATTCAACGGGGATGAACACGGCGTACATGGTGACTCCGACGCCACAGTGGAGGAGTATAACCCGTTCGAGGTGTCGGATCATCGGGAGGATGACGGCGTGCATGGTGACTTGGGCGACCATTTATTTTACGATGGCCCGTCAGTCTTTGATGAAGAATCCTTGGATTTCGACCTTGGCGTGGGTGATTTCTACGATGGAACACCGATCTTTGATGAAGAGCCTCCACTGACGGAGAAACATCTTTGCGAGGCCATGGAGAAGATACATTTCGTTCATAGGATTGGAGAATTTGATGTGGTGAACTTTGGACCAGATGATACCATCCTCTTGCAATTTCAAGATATGAAATTTTTTGAACACACTAACCAAATGGGTGCCTCTGGATTGGATTCCCCAGGCAAGGCCTTCTATGATCCTGCTGCTACCGGTGCCCTTGTAGTGGACATGCAAAAGCTAATTGAACTATATGAATATAGAGAGCTCAAAGTTTTCCCAAAACACGTTTATGTCATAGAGTTTGCCGGTGCACTAGTTGTTTCATTATGGGCGGCTAATTGTTCGGCAGTTTTGGAGGGGAGTGTTGAACTGGTTGCGCGGCATTCAACCTTCGTGCACGATAGGGAAAAACGATTGGAGATTCCTGCCTTGGTACTAATCTGGTGTCGACATATTTGGTGCCATATTTGGGTGAGAACACAGAAGGAGACGAGCTTATTTCGGATTCGAGGGCGAATCCTTCCCAATCGGGGGAGGATGATGGAGACGAGCTTGCTTTGGCGTTATGGAAAAATACGAGCGTCGTAGACGTCGTGCATGAGTTACATGCTTATGTGACTCTTCATATTGTCATGTTATCTTAAAGTTAGTATGGAAGTTTGTAGTAGTCAAAGTACCAAAATCAAAGAGGCATTCAACATTAACTAAAAACTAGAAACATTATTAGGGGGCATTCAAAAAGTAACTAGAATTCTTATAAATTATGTAATCATATGATGAAGAAGTTGGTGAATGATTGAATAAAATTACATTATTATCTAGTATTCTATACTCTCGTGTCTTTCGTAAGCTTTCGACTGCATCAGAATGTTAGCACCAAAAACAGTAGTGGATTTTACTTCTTTGGTCAACAGTGATGCTTTTGGTACAGCTGCAGCTGCACCACCTTTGGAGCCTTTCTTTTTAGCAGCGCCTGCAGCATATGTCCTGTGGCCCACCATTCGAAGTACCTCCTTAAGTGGGGTGACGTTTCTCAATGATCTGATCGGAGTGATTGACATGTTTGTTTGGCTGCAGAATGACCGAGAGTTACTCATCATATCGACTTTGAATATAGGAAAATTGGGAATAAAATTACGTTCAACAATCCATAACTACAACAATGATAAACAACACAAACAAAAAAGAACCTGAAGTTTCGGTCATGGCATCCAAATTAATATGATTCAACTATGGAAAAAAAAAAACCAATGTGTAGTTTAAAGCACCTCATGGAAGGTTGATTTAAAGAAAAAAAGATTGGAAAATGATTACTGCCCGCAATTACACCACATAACATTTCGATTTGTCCATTAAAAAGATAAAATAAAATCGAACACAACTCCATGAAACAGACTGAATTTCATTACTCTATCGTAAAAGCAAAATTGTCGGGATAATATGAAGTCGTGCTTCCCGAACAAAACCCTCAATGCCGCTATGACGTTGGATAAAAAGATGGAGACGATGATGATTCGATGACGCTCGTAACAATAACAATGACAACAGAAATATCAATATATCGAACAACTCTATAGGAGAAACGAAATTTTTCTCTTCTTTTGTGCAACTTTTACACAACCAGAGGTGGAATTAACAGATGAAAAATTAAAAGAGAAAGATGGGTAAAGAGTGATACAGACTACTGCAATACGATATTCTACAAGCAGAAACTTGGCTCCCCGTACGTTTACTGTATTAATGCATCAAAAAAATACCAAAAAATTGGGCATCACGACGCTAATACCAGAACTGATAATTAGATAATGCATAAATCAACTAAAAAATTGATGGCTTTGTATTCAGGGTAAGTATATTCAGTGGCGAAACCAGCCGGTCATCTCAGGGAGGGCTCAATTTGCCGTGGCGCACCACCCCCACTCCGGCATCGGAAGGGCGCTCAAAGAGCTTTTGTGGACGCTCTCAAAAATTTTCGCAGGATATAAAAGAATACTCTAAAGATTTTTCTAAAAATCAAACTAAGTCCGGAATTAAACTGGTATACTTAAACTGAATTGTTTTAACTCGAAAAATACTCAAATTTACCTATCTATCTATCTATATCTATATCTATACTACTTTAAAAGGAGGAGTGTTTTTGTAAAAAATCATAATGCCTAAAAAACCCTTACTTTGACATAAATTTAATAGAAAATTAGTAATACACGAAAACACATCATATTTTATTTATATTTTTAATTAAAAAATGAACTACCTAAAAAATTCTTACTTTCACATGTTTTTAATGGCAAATTGGTAATATACTACTGTCATCATATCTTATATCCTCCCTATATATAATTAAAAAAAACATAACTTTTCTCAATTCAACATAAACAAATCAATGAAAATAATATATTTTTAAAAATTTTATGAACAAAAGTTGACTCGACAATATTATTAATGAATTTATGAATTGTAAATATTTAATTAAAATATTAATTAAAAAATTGTAATTATATATAATATAATATAGAATATACAAATATTTGATATATAATGAGGCAGATGATCGAAAAAATTCTATACTTTATATTATGTCTTTTTTGACAAATCTACAGTTAAGAACATGTGAAAGAACAAGATAAAGTTTTATAAAAATATTAAATATAACAAATAATATGAATAATAACAACAAGATAAAGTTTTAAAATAATATTAAATATAACAAATAATATGAATAATAACTAAGTTGTAACACGTACTAATAAATATAAAACAAACTAATAAACAAAATAATATATTAATTAATATATCTAAATATAAACATTCTAAAAATATATTTATCGATGTAATCGAACTGAGTTGTTAAACGCTTGTTAGTTTTTTGTTCTTATTAATTTTATGTGTAAATTTGAGGTGATAGACAATAGTTATTTGTACATTTATACATGTAGATTAAAAATCCTTTATTATTCCAAATTTAAATAACTTTTTTATTTACTATATTAGTTTTTTTAATATAATATATAAGTATCACATTGAACAGATAAAACAAGAAATATTTTTATTATATAATATTTAATATGTAAGAATTGTAACTCAATTGGTAAATTAATTGGTAATCTTGGGATAAAATAATGAGTGATTTATGAAAAAAAAATATAGGAACTAAAAAGTTCACGTGTTTAATATATTTTTAATAGAAAAATTGTAAACACAGTTACTCAATAAGTACTACAAAAAAAATATAAGAAATCTTATATCCTCCCTATATGTAATTGAAAAACATAACTTTTCTCAATTCAACATAAGCAAATCAATGAAAATAATATATCTTTAAAAATTTTATGAACAAAAGTTGACTCGACAATATTATTAATGAATTTATGAATTGTAAATATTTAATTAAAATATTAATTAAAAAATTGCAATTAAATATAATATAATATAGAATATACAAATATTTAATATATAATGAGGCAGATGATTGAAAAAATTCCATACTTTATATAATGTCTTTTTTGTCAAATCTACAGTTAAGAACATGTGAAAGAACAAGATAAAAGTTTAAAAAAAATATTAAATATAAGAAATAATATGAATAATAACTAAGTTGTGACACGTACTAATAAATATAAAACAATCTAATAAACAAGAATAATATAATTAATATAACTAAATATAAATCTTCTAAAAATATACTTATCGATGAATCGAACTGAGTTGTTAAACGCTTGTTAGTTTTTTGTTCTTGTTAATTTTATGTGTAAATTTGAGGTGATAGACAATAGTTATTTGTACATTTATACATGTAGATTAGAAAAAAAAATCTTTATTATTCTAATTTTAAATAACTTTTTAATTTACTATATTAGTTTTTTAATATAATATATAAGTATCATATTGACCAGATAAAACAAGAAATATTTTAATTATATAATATTTAATATGTAAAAAATGTAACTCAATTGGAAAATTAATAGGGAATCTTGGGATAAAATAATGAGTGATTTTTGAAAAAAAGAATTATAGGAACTAAAAAGTTCACGTGTTTAATATATTTTTAATAGAAAAATTGTAAACACAATTACTCAATAAATACTACATAAAAAATATAAGAAATCTTATATCCTCCGTATATATAATTAAAAAACATAACTTTTTTCTCAATTCAACATAAGCAAATCAATGAAAATAATATATTTTTAAAATTTTATGAACAAAAGTTGACTCGACAATATTATTAATGAATTTATGAATTGTAAATATTTAATTAAAAAATTGTAATTAAATATAAATATAATATAGGATATACATATATAGTTAAATCAATTTTATTAAGTATAAAATAACATAAGATAAGCTTGTGGTATGTTTTCTATACATAAATTTGAAACAATTCATATTAAAAAAAAAGTAAAAAAATGGGTGTAAACTTCTAACTGTTCCCACGTTTTGGCTAGAGCGCTCAAATCCGATATATGTTTGACACGAGTTTGTCGTAATACTGAAACTATGGCAAATGCACCTTAGGGTACAAACGAAGCGAAGCAATGTCAAGTCATAGATAAAAGGAAAGGCTAGGCCAAAGAAAGGAAATGAAATAACATTATTTATGTGAAGTCAATTACTGCTGCAAAATGAACCCTATATTGATGGTGGTACCATATATGTATTCAGTGATTATGAAAATGACTTAGTTAATTAATATTTTATCAAACATTAAAAAAAATTCTAAAACTTTTTAATCAAATAATTCGTATAAAAAGTACAATTTTATCAAATATATTAAATTACATTTAATGTTATGTGATTATATTAATTGTAGCTTAATAAATAAGATAATTCTATCATTATATAAAACACATACAAAAAATAACATACTACGTATAAATGTGCTTTAGTTACTTAGCAAATAAAATATTATTTGTCTATAGAATAAGAAACAAATAATATAATAGTAATGCAATGAGAAAAAGAAAACATGCTAATTTTCTTAGAAAAGTATGAATACCAATATTTACAAACAAAAAGTCTTTTAAAATTACTACTTTTTTGTTGCTAGCGTTTAAATATATGGACTCTGTAAGAAATTGGTTCTCATAAATAATGATCATATATTATATATTTTCAATTTTAAATAATTAAAAAATCAAAAAAAAATTGTATACATGATGTATATTTTAATCCTGACTCCATAATAATAAACTTTACAAATGACTAAAAGTATCGTCATATAATGGAATTCTAATTCTTCTGTTGTCAAATATTTTAACAAATGATATGTTTCTCAATATTTTCTCATTGTTTTGTTTTATCATTGCAAAAAATAAATTATATGGTTCGTCTATATTCTAGATAAATAACACTGAAAATGAAATGTAGGAGTATCAAAACAGTTTAAAATGTTAGAATTAAGTTGTCACTCTTTATAGAAATATTTATAATCTCATTAGTGTATTGTGCTTGAACATATGTGCAATTACTTTAGAGGTACTTTCAGGTAATGTATGATGATTTCAAAAAATAATTTAGCACCTCGGGAGAAGTACATGTAACCAAGATTTTAGAAAGTCAACTTTTATTTGGAGATAAAATTCATTCCCACCTCGTGGGGCGATGCATCAATGGGGTAGACACCAATATATCTAGAGATAGAGAAATGTAGTAGTTTATACAGTCATAAAAAATATCAGCAATTTTAGTGACACCGTTAGTTATTTCATAGAGATATATATCCTTTGTTAGTAGAAGTACCTTGTTATAAAGATCATACGATCATGAAGTTTGACTATATGTTGGGTCAGAATATTTCTTAAGTGTTTGAATAAAATTGGCGTTTTGTCAAATTAATTAAGAGAAATTTTACAATAGTATTGATGTATTGGACTCCAACGACTATGAATGTTCTTATGAGAACGTTAAAACTAAAATGTAAGAAAATCTTTGTGTTTTTTTTATTAGAAATTTGTTTTTTTATATATATTTTTGTTGGGGCTTGTAAAACATTATTTCACTATTTTTATATGAGGACATCATTATGTTAATTCTAAATAAAAAAAAAAATTCACATATGAGTTTATTTTTTTTATATTTTACTTCATTTATGCAATGATAT